CAAAGGAGGCTGCCAGAGTGGGGAAAGGTTGGCTGAGGCTGGAAGACCTGGGGTCAGAGACTATCCAGTAAGCTGAGTCAGTTTCTTCTGCCTCTGTATTTTGGCTCTGGATATAAAGCCACCTTTGAAGAGGGGTAAGGGAAGAAGCCAGCTGAGTTGACTTCTGTCTTTTCTTGGTCTTAAAGCCTAAACATTGGCTTATGCTTCCCTAATAAGTGTTTAGTATACATTACTTCAGGGCTGTTCTCCCATGGAGTGGCTATATTGTTTATGCAAGTAGAATCAATCCAGAGATTGAAGTGTTCTCTGAACATGGATTCCTTCAAACCAGGGCTGGGCAGCCATCTAATCCAGCAGCAGGTACTTTCCCCATGCTGCAAAGAGAGTGGTGGCTAGGTCCTAATTCCTGCCCATCTCTGACCCAAACTAGGTTTAACAAAGTTACTGACCACTGCTTTAAACAACTGGTTTGCACTTTCATATATCATTTGTAGTGATTTTTTTTTCCTGACTTGAGGCATGTATCTAGTACTACTTGTGAATAAAGTGTTGCACTGTGAAGTTACAGAACACTCAGTTTTCCAATCTACATGTGTAGTGAAGTATACATAAGAACTAAGCTGTCTTTCTGAGTTAGGAAAGCCCTTATGCTTGGGCAGCCTTCCTGGATGATAGCCATGCGTGGATAATATTTGGTGTCTGGGTGGGATCACCTTTGCACCAAATTGGTGCGCATGCACAGAAGTTTTGGCAGTATTTTTCTACTCTTCCTACACCAGTTGTTTGTAAACCATGCTAACAGTATGTTTTTTCCAATTGTTTCTAGGTGTTGTGCAACACTTGCAAAATGGACAGCTATTACGGGAAATTTATATAAAGAAACATAAACTGCTCCTGAGCGACTGGACAGCGAAACACCTCTACTTGGAGTCTACAGGAAAAAGTCGAACCCTGCAGAGTGGACTGGCTCTTCTTTATACCTTGCTGCCAGATTTTGATTGGAAGAAAATTAATGTGAGACATCAGTGGAGCACTATCTTTTGTTCTGGAAGCTGTGATTGTCCAATGAGAAACCATTATCTAGAAGAAGAGCAGCGGCGTCAGTATAGCTTAAGGGTGAAAAACAGTGATTTGGAGAGAGTATATGTGGATATGGCCAAAATAGTAGGCATTCCTACGAGGCAGTTAAGGGCATCTAATCCAATAGATTCTCTGTTGTGCTATTTTTGCCATAATGTCAGTTTCCCTTGTACTAAAAATGGCTGCATTAATATTGAACATTTTAAGATAATCAAGACACATCAGTTAGAGGATGAGAGAGAAAGACAGGAAAAAAAACTGTATTTCTTTTATGCACTACTGGCTACATATCCTCTTCTTAACCAGACTGTTAACAGGATGCAACGTATTGCAGAGGGCAAGAAAGAAGAAGTACTGGTCCTTTACTCAGCTCATGATGTCACACTGTCACCTGTTCTTAGTGCTTTGGGCATTACAGAAGCCAGGTTTCCAAGATTTGCTGCCAGACTAGTCTTTGAGCTGTGGCAGGATGGAAAAAAACACAGAGAACACTTTATCCGCATCCTGTACAATGGTGTTGATGTCACATTTCAGACCTCATTTTGTCAGGATCATAACATGCGTTCCAGCAAGCCTGCGTGTCCTCTAGAAAAATTTGTTCATTTTGTCAAAAGGGACATGTTTTCTGTTTTTAATAGTACTAATTACTATGACGCATGTCACAGGAGACCACTGTAAATGGAAGGTGAGAGAAAGAAGTGTGAATTTGTGTAATGACGTGAGGTCTGTGTACCTGAGTACTTTTTTTAAAAAAAAATTCTACCACAACAGTAAA